AATTTCAGAGCCAGTTAATGACTGTATTTCTCTCCCTCTGGTGGGCCCGGGAGAATCTGCACAACTGTACAGAGGGTGCCACCTCAGAGGTGTCCATGTGCCGAGCTTTGGCCCTGAGGGGAAACACAGCAAGGAGAGACAGAAACACACCACAGTGTGTGTGGCAAACAAACACAATAAAGGAACGGATAGGTCCTATTTTTAAAAGTGTGTGCCTGTACCATCTAGGGACACCGCCTTTTCAAAAATTCCACTGTACATTCTGATGGGAACCCTAGCACCGGATTTCCTCTGGGTCCTTTGAAGAATCACTGCGTTATTGATAACAGTGAGGTGCATCGGTCACAGAAATGACAAATTTATATGGCATGTAAATCACAATGAAACTTTGTGTTAAAACACACAGGAGACTGTGTGCTAAGGAGATGCTGTAGGGAAATATGTGCTGGACAGTAAAGATTATTGTATTTAGATTTTAAATCCATGAGCAGACAACCACAGTATCAGAGCAACAGAACTATGGAGTTTCTGTACACAAAGGCCCACCGAAGGCCGAAGCTCCAGAGGAAGGACTTCTAAACTCAAGAGGGCACATGCTGAGGGGTGCCTGGAAGACCTTCTGATCACCACAGCTAAAAGGCACTAATCCAGTTACAACGTCCCCATGTATCTATTCAATCCCTACATAAGGCCCTCTCCTCACACTGCACTGAACTCGGGTAACCAGAAACAAATGTACCTGCAGGACTATAAACAGAGGAAAAGAAGAATACCAGCAGAGATATGCAAAAATCTAGAAAGAAAAGCTAAGACTCTTAAGGGAGAAATAAACCCCTTAGATAGAAGCTTGAAAGGGAACGCAAGTTTCATCTAAAGCAGTGGTTGGCAAACCGCGGCTCACGAGCCACATGCGGCTCTTTGGCCCCTCAAGTGTGGCTCTTCCACAAAATACCACCTGCGGGCGCGCACGTACAGTGCGATTGAAACTTCGTGGCCCATGCGCAGAAGTCGGTTTTTGGCCTGGGCGAGTCTATTTTGAAGAAGTGGCGTTAGAAGAAGTGGGGGGTGTCAGTCGGGCGACTGGAGACGCGGCACAGGCGGGGCCGGGGATACAGCTCGGGGAGGCGCGCGTGATTCAACACAAGTTGAGTGAGCCAGTCAGTCAGCAGACTCATTGTGCAGTGGTTAGTGCTAGTCGCGTCCGCAAATCGAGCGCGGGTGACAAAAGTACCTACTCAAAGCATAAAGTTACCTGTATTTTTCCAACCAGCTGCAAACCCTACAGGTATTTTTGTCATCAATTTAAGAATTGTAATTATTTTGTGTTGGTGGCTTTATTATTATAAAATGAGGACTTTTTTTTAGCAAAGGCCAGCTTAGGAGTACCCTAATTAAGTTAATAACAATGTGCCTACCTATATAGTTTAAGTTTAAAAAATTTGGCTCTCAAAAGAAATTTCAATCGTTGTACTGTTGATATTTGGGTCTGTTACTGAGTTTGCCAACCACTGACCTAAAGTATCAGGACAAGGCACGGACATCTGCTCGGACAGGATCCAACGGCATCCTGGGGCAACTGATCTACTGCATTCCATTTAACACGAGATCTCAAGAGTACAGTCCCTGATCCAGCAGCATCGGCATACCCGGGGCCCTGTTGGAAAGGGAAACTCTCCATCCAAGCCTAGACCGACTAAGTCAGGAACTCTGGGGTGGGCCAGTCCTCTGTGCTTTAGGTGATTCTGATGTTCACTCCAGCTTAAGAACCACTGATCCGAGCAAACCCTGCCTTAAATTTCTATAAAACATTCACACGGTCAAGGTGAGAAGACTGTTTTTTCCTGCCTACCAATTCCAAATTCAGTGTCACACTAAACACGGAAAGTAGAATCCAAGCAATGCCACTGAGCAATTTGCAGATGTGAGACGGACTGAACTCTCATTTCCTGTGCAGAAACAGCATGAGGCTTACCAGGCGTAGCAAGCAGATGTAAAACCCCAGGAAAATCACTAACTGCAATGCAGTTTTATATTCATGGTCCACTTGGGGGTCCCAGTGCTCCAGGAGCGCTATCTGGCCATCAGTTTTTACAACGGACTCAGGAGCTCAAAGGACGCATAATTATAATGACCTTCTGAAGATAAGATATTCATATATTTAAATGAGGTATATTTTATAGGCTGTAATTTCAAAAATATATACTTTTAATGACAGTTCCTAAAGCTGGTAAGAAAGTGAAATACGTACATCACACCCTGGGGTGAGTGGGATATTGTGAATTAGTACAACTCTTATGGAAAGCAATTTGGCAATATATAAAAACATCCATAGTCTGACCTATTAAGGCTACTTTTTTCAGAATAAGAATTAATTCCCCAAATGAAAAGTTATATGAACAGAGAGTCTACTACAGGCCCCAAAGGGAGGAAACAGGATGTGTAACAATATGGAAATGGCTAAAAAAAAAATCACGTGACCATTTAAAATAAAAACAGGCTATTTAACAACATTAAAACACACATATAAATGAAAGAGAAGATATAGAATTGCATCTAGACTATGATTACAAAAATATATACATAAAGAAGTGAAAAGAAACATAAAGAAGTGAAAAGAAACATGAATTTTATAATACAAGGGCAATTTTTTTTTCTTTTTTTTGTTTATTTTCTACTCTACTCAGTTCTTTCTATTTTGGTAGTAATAACTAGATGTTAATATTAACAAAACAGGTTTGCAAGCAGCATGGAAGACTATCAAGTTTCAGTTTAAGCATTTCTCTGTATGTGCATGTATGTGTGGTGTGCATGTGAGCACATGAATATTTATGGAGAAGAGGGACTAGGGCAAAAGGAAGGAAAATATCAAATTAGTCATGGTCAAAGGACAGTAGCTGATTTCCAATGAGACACGACATACCCTTACCCGCCACCCCCCCCTAAAAATCAAACCATACCACAGAACAGAAGCTTAAGCCCCAACATTTTAGGAACCAGAAAAAACACCTAAATAATGACATAAAGGGGAGATCAAAAAGCAACCAAAATATTCTCTTCTTTTCTTCATCTTTTTTCCCCAGAGGTAATGTTAAACATGGGACAGATCAAGCAAACCACCATTTGTCGAGCTACACTTTAAACTGATGATGTTAATTTCACACCAAACATTAATCGCAGCTGATCTTTAAAAGCCCTTTGGGCCTATGCCTGTGACACAGGGACCTGGTTTGCAACATAAGTTCTGACATAGCCCTAATCCCACGTTTCTGCCGCACTAGGCTTCCAGCTCACAGGCTGGCCTGGCACCGCTCCAGCACCCCTCCCGCCCCCCAGCTGGACTGCCCCCATCCTGGCCCTGGAATATTAGCTCTCTCTTAGTCGGGGCAAGTTCCCCATCACCTGGTTTATTATGACACCGATCCTTCTCTAAAATGTCTGTTAAGAGAAACTAATTAGAATTCGATTTTCAGTTCGAAGGAGCTCAAGAGGGGGAGGGGTAAATAAAGTCGATGTGCAATTTCAGGCAAAGTTCAGAACATTATAAATCAGCAAAACAGTCTCTCTGTTGCAAACAATTCTCAAGGCGCTCGAATGGCACAAAATGCAAGTCAGAGCTCCCAAGGATTGAGAAATAATTACCAAAAAAATGTTCAAGATCCTATTTTCTTTAAAGCACTTTAAAAGAACTGTCAGGTTATAATGCATGTGTGTTTATGTTTGATCTGAAACATTAGCTTTGATATCCTTAGAGAGTTTGTTAAAAGCAAATACTCTGCTGCTGGGGCAGGGGGGGGGGGAGGGGGGCAGGGAAGCTATCATGAAGACATGCCTATGTTAATTACTGCACACTAAAACTACATTAAGTTATCCAGATCCACTTCCCTCTCAGAACCTCCCATTCTCTGGCTGTCGGTTCATGAAAATTATGATTGCCACAGGAATCTCGATCCTTGCAAGAAAATATCAGTGGAAGGTGGGATGGAGCACAGATGTTACAGACTTCATGTATTATTTCTTTCATACTTCAAATCCAAGATTCCAACAGGTCACAGGAGGGTGAAGTATCTTTTGGAAAGAAATATTAATCTAAATACATGGCACTGTCTTCTGTTTTCCTGGAACAATTTCAGACACATCCTCAGTGAAATAAGATTTCCAGTTGTGAAGGTATTTCAAGTTGTGAAGTGGTTGATTTAGTCGACATAAAAGATTCTGCTATAATAACCACTTTGTGGGTAGATGGGGCATGTGCAATTTGAAAGAGTATACTTAGGGCTTTCAGAATAAAATGTAGTTGAAGTTAAGTTCAACACTATATTTGTGGTTGATCTGGATACATGAAAGACAAGAGTAAGAGTTTATTGTAGGGGACGCAGGTAAAAATGATTGGCATATGCTTCCCTAACTGCCAAGGCGACACCATTTCATAAAACTTAACTTACAAGAGTACCAGCATAACCACCTACTCAGGGCTTCCTGAAGATGAGCTTCACTTATACAGCCTGCTTCTTACAAAGGAGTGGATTCCAAATGCATCACCTGAGCCTTTTCTCAATAATCTAAAACTTAAGTAAAAATACCTAAAATAGCAGAATTCATTTACCCTTAGATTTACTTGTGCATTCTCCTCACATTAAACTTCACTTGTGAGGCGAGCAAAGAAGAAGGGAAAGTGGAAAGAAAGGCAGAATAGGAAGAAGGAAGGAAGGAAGGAAGGAAGGAAGGAAGGAAGGAAGGAAGGAAGGAAGGAAGGAAGGAAGGAAGGGCTAATCAAAAGAAAAAAACAAGGAATGACTAGTCTCTTCCAGAAAGCCATTATTTCCTCTTTAAAATACAATGCAGTTAAAATACAATGCCATTGCATGACACCTACCAGTTAAAATATAAATGCCAGCCGCATGACAAGGAACCATGTGGACTTAAATATCCCTTTTGCCCTTTTAAGGGCAGCAGAATCAACAGGGCTTGAAAATGGACATTACATTAGATCAGATACCTACCGTTGCTCACCATCCGCCTGGCCACTTCCCACAAGACAAGTCCGAAAGCCCAAATATCGACTCTCTTGTAAGAATCAAAGCAGTCCACCTGGATGGTTTCATCCAGGACTTCAGGGGCCATGTAGCGCTTGGTGCCTACGCGTGGGTTGTTCCCCACGTCCAGCTGATTGGTGCTCTGGGAATGCATGACTGCCAGGCCTGAAAGGAAGAAGACAACAGTGTCCATCAGCTCACGTCCTTTCTCAGAGAGAGCTGCTGGCCAAGTTTCAACCCGTCCCAATCCTAGCAGAGAAAATGGTAAATTGGTTCAGGGATTTTCTTCCCTCATGCTTGATTGATAATTTTGCTGTGGTTATAGAAGAACAACTTTAGAAACCATTTTTAAGACAAACTCACTTCATATGCTATGTATGTGTACCTACTTTGTGTAAAGAGCTGTGAAATCAGAATGGCCTCTGAGGGTGGGCTGGGGCAGGGTCTGACTGAACAAGCATGAAGTGATGGTCTGGGATAATGGGAAAGTCTGTCTCTCAATAGGGATTTTGGTTTTACAACATTTGTCAAAACCCTTGGATTGTATACTTAAGATTTGTGTATTTCCCATGATATTTAAATTTTACCTATTAAGAAAATAAATAATGAACTCTAGTGAGTGATACACTGGTGTCTTTGGACAGAAGAGCTCTTTTGTCTGCAATTTACATTGAAATGTGTCAACGATTAAGAAGGATTGGTGAATAGGGGACAGACAGATATGTGATAAAGCTTCAGAATAGTAAAATATTAATGGGAGAATCTAGTGGTTGTGATACAGTTGTTTACTATCTTCAATTTGTCTGCATGCTTGAAACTTTTCACAACAAAAAGTAAAAAAAGTAATTTAAAAATATTTCTAAAAATTTACCCAAATCTGCTATGCAACACTGTCCATTCTTCTTCACCAGGATGTTTTTGCTTTTCAAATCTCGATGAGCAATGGCTGGTTTCCCTTGGGTCCCAAATATCTCTATGTGCAAATGTGCGAGACCACTAGCAATGGACAGCACTATTCTCAGGCAGCTAACCGTATCCAGAGTAGTAAGCTGGAGATAGTCATACAGTGACCCCATTTCATGGTAATGTGTGATCAACCACAACTGGGTACTGGAGTGTCTTGATGTCATGTCTGAAGCAATGAAACCTGGAGCGAGCAAGAACAAAATGAACAGACATGTGAGAATTCCACACTGTAATTTTTAGTATGCAGAAATAGTGACCCATGCAGTAGACATCGTCTGTAACAAGATATAATTAATCTAACCAACTACCATGGAAGAAGGTTTACAGAATCATCAACAAAGAAACATTATAGTATTGATCGCTTAAAGGGTACTGTCAATGAATAGAAAAATTTCATATTAATTTCTATGGTAAAATAACCCTTTAAAAATATTTTACACTGCATGAACATTTAAATAGAAATATTTTTTGTGCTTACCCATAATAACAGTGCCAAATTCTTTATCACACTGATATTCCAAGCACAGATTATTCATCAACTACCCAAAAAGAACAGGAAACTGGAACCTAGACATCTGTGTTCTAGTCCTGACTCTGCCTGTGATTTGCTGTGTAATATTGACAACTCATTTAGGCTCTTTGGAGTCTCTCTGCTCAGTTATAAAATAAAAGGATCAGTTTATGTTAAATGACTGACAGATTCATCAAATAAAAAAAGGAGCCAATGAAATATAACAAGCAAATGATGCTCTCTGTCAGTCACACAGGAAAACCAAGATGATAATGTTTGTTAGCTACAAAAGAAGACAGATATGAAAAGGAAAAAATTACAACATAATGTAAAAAGTATTATAATATTATCTCCAAAGGGCACCAGGAGCCCGGAGAAGGGAATCATAATAATTCAGACCAGATGTTCCAATAGGCTTCCATCAAAAGTAACCACTGGTCTTGAAGAGAAATGAAATACTGACAGATGTAGATAAAGAGGTAGGAAGAAGTTTTTCTAGATATACTGTGGGGACTTTTTGGGCATAATGAAGGAACTATAGAAGTCTGAGGCACTTCCTAACCTAGGGAATAAATTGTGATATGTATGCTTGTTATTTTGCTAAAGAAGTGCTTTTCTAGCATTGCTTTTCTATATATATTATATTATCTATCTATCTATCTATCTATCTATCTATCTATCTATCTATATATATATATATATATAAACTGTTAAGTGACCGACCGTCCGTCTGTCCTACCAACTGACCAGCAGGTACACATGACATGCACTGGCAATTTAAAAATAAATGTTGACTTGCGCATGCACGATACATTTAAAGCTCTCACTGGCACCAATCGCATGCGTGTGCACGAATCCACGCATCAGGCCATCTATACATATAAAAGGCTAAATGACCGACCGTTTGTCCATCCAACGACCGGTACATATGATGCACTGGCAATTTAAAAATAAATGTTGACTTGCTCATGCGTGATATTTGTCCCCGTCTGACACTGGCCTCCCATTTAAATTAATTTGAAGACAGTTTCACATGATGCCAGCATTTGTGATGACTATTAATCAATCACAAGGACAAAGTCTAGACAGAGCAGGAATATTCCTACCTGAACCCGTTTTCAGACATGGTCAGTTATACGTTGCTATCTCTCGAGTTTGACAAGCGTGTGACATTAAAGTTAAAGTTGTAAATATTTCATCACAAGGGAAAATAGTCAAGCACTCTGAAAGAGTTTTTACTCTTAATGTGGTATACAGGGAGATATTAGAATAAGTTTAATCCATTTATCAGTCATTGTTTTTATCAGTGTTGTTTTATATCATGTTTGTTTTTATATCATGTTTTTGTTTTTATATCATGCCTTTGTTATATCATGTTGTTATTTATTAATCAATTTATATATTATTTTCTTATACATTTTACTAATTTTCTTTCATCTCTGACACTTCTATTATAGAGAAAGGGTGAATAGCAATATTAAAATATTTCTTCTAATTAACTTCCTTTTAATGTGCATGAATCCGTGCACTGGGCCACTAGTATAATAATATTCTTCTATATATTATATAAAGAAGAATGCTAGAAAAGCACTTCTGGGCTTTTAATATATATTTATATGTAACATATAATGTACATTACATATCTGTATACTATAATATACAGGGTTGATTTACAATTGCTCATATGCAAAAACTACAATAATTAATAATAATAATAATAATAATAATAATAATACAAGAATACACTGTGTCGCGTACTCACAACTGTAAGCCTACTTTTGCCCTGCCCTGTGTATTATAATATATTTTATAATATACTGGCAGTCCAGTGCATGAATTCGTGCATGGGTGTGGTCCCTCAGCCTGGTCAGCAATCAGGTGGATAGGGGCCGGCAGGCCCAGGAGAGGGACCATGGGAGGTTGGCTGGCCACAGGAGGTTGGCTGTGGGAGCATACTGACCACCAGGGGACAGCTCCTGCATTAAGTGTCTGCCCCCTGGTGGTCAGTGAGTGTCATAGCTACCGGCTGATCATCCGTCATCCCGTTGTAATGGTCACTTAGGCTTTTATATAGAGAGTTGTATTTATTAGAATATATGTTACATATATCATATATATGAACTTTATGGATAGTAAAGTTTGGGACATATAAATAGAAGATAAAAATTTTTTTAAAGACAGATATGGCTTGAGGAAGAATTAAATATCTTGCAAAAGTATAAAGTAAGAGAAATTGCATAAAACGCCTTACCATCACATAGTACATTGTGTAAAATTTACTCACTTTCACATATATTTTTTTCATGGGATTTTCCTCAATAGAACAGTGAGATAGATATATATCATTATAGTCACTTTAGAAATAATGAAGTTGCTGCTGGGAGATGCCAAGAATCACAAAGCTATTAAATTGCAGCCAACCCCAGGTTTGGAGCTGGCTGCCCTGGTACACCCTACCTCGCATAGGAAGCTCTAGGAACAAAGAAAGGTCTTCTATTTGATCAGCAGCATCAACAATAGAAGCAGCTATTATTATTGAGTGCTAACAACGCACCAAGCACTTGACACACAGTCCTCCAACAACCGCATGAAGTAGGTAGATTACATCCCTGACATGAGGTGTGCTGCAAAAATTTTTAAAACATTCAATTCCTGACTATTGAGTCAGAGGCACTGACCTCTTTCCCCTTAAATTGTCACATTTTTTAAAAAAAGTGACAACAGGCAACAGTATGCTGTGAATACCCTGCCTTGAACCATAAATACATAGGCCATATAATAGTGTTACATCTTATTGGTCACATCGCATAATAAGGTTGTGTTTGATTGGTTAATTTCTGGTACCAAAAATCCTTATATACAAGTGTATGAAACTGATTTTTTTTTTTTTAGTTATTTTGGAGCAAAAAGGGTAGGTAATTACTATTATTGTTGTTATTATTTTGTAAATCAATAAAAATCATACCTATTTTTTTGTCAGATTGGCAAAAAAATACATTTTTTGGTATGCTACAGAATTTTAGTAATTAGTTTTTGTGTGCCATGAGATGAAAAAGGTTGAAAATCGCTGCTCTAGACCTTCAGGAAAAGTAACTTTTAAATAAGCAAGGTTTTAAAAAGCTGTATTTCAGGTGTGAATTATATTACTCCACTTTCTTCAAAAGGCTAGAGCATTTTTATAAGATAACTAGAGGCCCGGTGCACGAATGCTTGCACTGGTGGGGTCCAGCCGGCCCACCCCAATGGGGGCCATCAGGGGCGGGCCGGCTGGGGCTAGGGGCCACAGGCGGTTTGCCAGCTGGCCCCACCCCCACTCAGGGTCCAGCTGCCTGCTCAAGGGGCGGGGCTGGCCGGGGTGAGTGGCCAGGCGCATTCCGGTGGTTCTGCTGTTCAGTCAATTTGCATATTACCCTTTTATTATATAGGACTGCATTTTGAGTCAAAGTTCTTCTGTTTGTGGAGAATGAACAGGTGCCTGTAGGTTGGAACTCTGGCACAGCCCTGGATGTGTTCATAACAGGGACAGAAGGTGACCAGGGCAAAAGCCTCTTAAACAACGAAAGGCATCCTCCAGGTTTCTTGAGAGCTAAAATAAAACCCCAAATCTTGAGGGAAGTAATCAGTGCTCCTTGGGAGCCGCTCCCTGGCGATCTCCCAGGAACCAGGCATGGGCAGCTCTGACGGCTGCAGAGGGAGACAACCACACAGTAGAGTGAGGTGCTGAGTGTTGGGCCCCAGAAATGAACTCCTGGGTTCCCATACTGGTTCCATCATTCCCAAGCTGCGTGATCTAGCACAGCTCACATAAAATCTCTTCCTTCTAAGACATCGGTAACATCATCATCTACCTTAAAGGGCTACTGTGAGAATAAGAGTTATTAGAAACAAAATACTTCAGATGATGCCTAACACATAGTAAGTGTTCAAGAACAGTTGTTTATTATTATATGTTAAAATAGCCCAAGATTCAATGACAACCACAATGATTTTGTAATGTAGTATCTTTTGTGGACAGTTTCCTTTACTTCCCATTGATCTCCAGAAATGATGACTGATGAAAATCTTAGGCAGTACCTTTTAAGAGTATGAGAAGGTTCTGGAGATGGAGGGTGGTGACTGCCACATGACGTGCACGTGCTCTGTTACACTGAGCTGTACACGATGGTAAATTTCGTGTTATGTATATTTAAAACAATTTTTTTTTAAAAAAAAAACAAAAAACAGTGTAAGGTAATTCTCAACCTCTTTGGTTTTAGCAGTGAAGAAAAGAATGTGCCGAAATATAGAACTTTGGCCCCAACTCACAAAGTGGGCCTCCAATGGTGCTGAGAGTAGAAACCGGTTTTCCAAATTTCCACTACACACCAGGGCTTCCCATTACTCACTCAGCTGTTGACTTCTACACCAGTCACAGCAAAAGGAAGAGTTGAAGTCCAAACTAGTCCATTTGAAAGATACTGTTTTACAAGTTTAATTGGGAGGATAAACAATGAGGGCCCAGAGTTTTACATGTATGCATGTGTATACTGTATATATGTATGTATTTGTGTGTGTAATTTAATTATGTATTTGGGGAGCTAGAGTTCGTAATACTCAAGGATGGGAGGAAATCATGGTCTGATATTCAAAACACAATATGCTCTTTCAATGGAGGAGAAAATGATCACAAAAAGCCTTAACTCTCTACATCCAGAAAACTTGTAAAGCAGGAAAAGAAGTTTAACAAAAAAGTTTGTGCATTTCTACAAGCTTTCTCAATGAAAAGGCTACCCAGTAAGATCAGTCCATTGGCTGTAATTATGATGAGGGTGGCAAGAGCTCATGAATTCAGAATTTCCGTGAATCGTTGGTAATAATAAATGGACAATGTTTTTCCCTCTGTGATCACACTACGGAAACTTAAGTTCTCTCACAGAAATCATACTGCAAATGTGACCTTCAAATTTTCCTTGTGATTAAACCCAACCTAATAAATATTTACCGAGCACCTTCCATGGGTAGTGTACTGTCCTCAGTGTTGAATGTGAAAGCCAAAACAATGGAAATAATTCTTGTCCTCATTGCAATGAAGTGGTATCATAGGTCGTTTAACTTAAGTGCATGGGTAAAGTGAGTATTTGCATAGCACAGTGATATCCAGAGCACTTTGCTCAATGAGGCTGCGGGCCCCAGAGAATGAGAGGGGATGCCCAAATATGTCCTTCCTTCAATAAGTCTCAGACCTGCATGCTTCTTAGCAATGTGCATCTGCCCAGTAAGAGTAATTCTAGTGTTTAAAGCTAAGTACTTCTTGTACCTCACAGCTTCTAACACAACCAATGCTCTATCTGTTGCACAACTGCAATCTGTTCCAGTTTCAGAGGAAAAATTGGTACACTAGAGGGTAATTTTGACGGTTGATGAATTTTCACTTCATACCCTGACTAAGAAACACCTCTATTAGTCTATGACCATCTAGCCAACTACAGTGTAGAGTACACACCTGCGGTTAAGTGTTAGAGTTCCCAGTGTGATTTTCAGTTCTACTATTTCGTCGTCTGCTGGGTGATGTTAACCTCTGTGTACCTCAGTCATCTCATCAGTTAAAAGTGAGAAACAAGAGTACCTAGCCTCTTATGGTTGTGATGAAGCTTAAATGAGAAAACACACATAACTGCTAGTAACTAGTCATCATTATTGCTATTGCCACCATTACTGTTGTTACACACATGCATCCAACCACAACACAAGACAATGTGTGATAAGACTTACAGCAGAGGTTCAATGTGAGGAGTGCAGAAAAGCACAATTAAATCTACTGGGAGATACTGGAAGGGCACTGAGATGTTCTGATGGAGGAAGGGGTGGTTGGAGGGTGGGACAGGAAGAGTGGGTGATCAAAAACAATGTGAACAAAAGCAGAGAGACTTGACTGTTCATGGCAATCCCAGGAAGGGCAAACATCAGAAGTGGCTGCATGTGGGTACATTTGTACAGGATGCTTCAGAGAATCCTTGGAGCCCAAAATAGGGAGTCTGTCATGTCAGGCCCAGAAGTCACGATTGCTGCAAGCAATGTGAAAGTCAGCAGACACATAGAGCAGAAGTATCTCAGCTCCCCAGGGGAAGATATCTCATTATAGAGAGAAGCATTGGAAAGGGAAGACCAAGAACCACAATACAAGGGAGGAGGATTAGGTGATGACTAGGGAAGGGCAAAAGTCAACAGCAGAAACTGAGATAATTCTGAGATGGAACATACCACTGTACTGATGAAGCAAAGCTTTGGACAACTGTCAAACCATTATTTGCAGACACCCTGGCTCAGGTTTAATACTAAATTGGCAGTACAGTCAAACACTGCTTAACGATGGGGATACATTCTGATAAATGTGTTGGTAGGCAATTCTGTCACTGTGAGAACATCATACAGTGTACTTAGATGGTATAGACTACCACACACCCAGGCTATAAACCTGTACAGCATGCTACTGTATTGAATACTGTCGGCAATTATAACACAATAGTATTTGTGTGTCTAAACATAGAACAGGTACAGTAAAAAATGTGTTGTCAAAGATAAAATATGGTCCACCTGTATAGGGTACTTACCATGAATGCAGTTTGCAGGAGAGGAAGTTGCTCTGGGTGAGTCAATGAGTAAGTAAATGATGAGTGAATGTGAAGGCCTAGGGCATGACTGCACACTACTGTAGACTTTATAAACACTATACACTTAAGCGACACTAAATTTATAAAATGAGATTAAATCAAGCGCAAGAAAAAAATGATGCAATCAAGAGACATGGTAAACACGGAAACTATGAGGCTGTTGCTTGCATAACACGGCATACTGTTTTACAGTAAACTTTCTTTTTATAAGTAGAAAGAGTATACTCTAAAATAATGACAAAGTATAGCATAGTAAACACATAAACCAGTAACACAGCCATTCATTATCAAGTATTATGTACTGTGCATTACCGTTTGTGCTATACTTTTATACGACTGGCAGCACAGATTTGATTACACCAGCATCACCACAAAAATATGAGTAATGTGTTGTACTACAACATTTCCATAGCTACAATGTCCTGGGCGACAGGAATTTTCCAGCCATTATCATCTTATGGGACCACTGTTGTATAGGTTGTCCGTCACTGACTGAAATTTATACTGCGTATGACTGTACCGGAATAGAAATAAATTCTGCAAATAGCTTTGTGTATGCCAAACCTAATGCAATAGTCACAACGTGTCCAACACTACCTTCTACAGGTCAAATTCTATATGAACTTTATATCCATCAGTTAAAAAGCACACCATGCAGCATTCGTCAAGGATGTATTAGTATAAACACATTTACAGAAACGTTTCAAAAAACATATACGCTAATGGACGCAAGGAATAGTCTCACCCTTTATAATTCCATAGCAGTATTTTCAATGAGCTCTCCACATATTTCACAAATGTTTTTAAGCTTTAGTTTCCAAATTAAAATGTATGCTAAATCCCTCTATAAATCTGGGCTTTAAAAAACGACGCCTAGTTTGAGGGAATGTGCATTTAATTACGATGTCCCTGGGAGCTGTGAATCTCTAGGAAATCATCCAAAGAGCCTTCTTAGTTTGATTCATGTAATAAATATTCAACAAGGGTGTGGGATAAGTAGAACCACCGAGGAAGCCTTGAAGTGAACAATAAGGGGCAAATTTCTGTTGTTTAAATGACAACCTGCAGAATGAGAGGGAGCAATAACTATTTCCTTTTCATCATTGGGAGAACCTTCCAATTTCACTTCTCTGCAGATATAAACAAGAAATTAGTTTTAAAAAATTAAATAGTATATAAATGCGCAAGATCCCTATATCGCTTTTCAGGAGAGACTGGAAAATTCACAGGCACCCCATCAGAGAGGGCAAAGGCAAGCAAATGATTTCTTTCTAGACAGAAATCATAAGGGGAATTACCCTGGTACTTACCTAAAATATTTTCTTGCCTCAGCATCACAGTGTTGTACAATTCTGTTTCCCTGAACCACGACTTCTCATCCCGGGAGGAGAAGATCTTCACAGCAACATTCTCCCCTTGCCAGCTGCCCCTCCACACCTCACCATACCTGCCTTTCCCTGTGGAAAGCAGCACAGAGGTGACATTAGACAGGACAGAAGAGGTTGCCAATAAAGTGCATACCTGCAACTCTTAACCATGCCCACTGTTTACTGGGAAAACAATTTAGGGGATATAAATACCAGGACCTTTTGCCTGCAAAGGCAGAACCTGCCCCTCCCAGCCACTCCACTGTGATAACAAGTTAAACACTCTCAGTATCTGCACGGTACAATTAGCTGCACACGATAAAGTTTTACATTTGAATTCCTCTATTAAAGGGTCTGAAACACATAGTTTTTAAAAGCACATGAAAATTAGCGAAACTTAGAAAATGGTACCGATCACTAGATTTCAGTGTGGTGTGGAAGGACAAAAACATGTATACGGCTTTACATAGACATTTATATGTTTCAAAAAGGAGACTGTTGAGTTTGAGATGTGTTGTTCTGAAGGGTTAAAAGGCAATCACACACAAGCACACAAAAAACAATGCTGAGAAGGGGATCCACAAGCAGCCACTGCCATCCCTAAAGGATTTCTTGGTGGAGGATATAGTTCAAAAGAGGATTTGCAAAGTCTTAAACACGTAATCCCAGAACAGTCCTGATTTCTGACATTGGTCATGGGTATTTGCTTGTGAGACAGCCCCTGCAATGCCGCCCTGGGCCACACGGAAAAGGCCAAATGGAGAAGACATTCTGCAGAATGTGGTGACTGGCTGTGATGATTCTGCTGGGTGCCTGTCCTCTCCGGCAGCAGCAACACAACTATCGGCTTGTCAACTCCATGCGCCCTCTGCCACCCTTCTCCTTAATTATAGGAAGGGGTGAGCAGGGAGGTTGGGAGGAGGAGGTAATTACCACAAGACTCTGGGGATCAACACGGGGTATAATCAAGGGGTACGTGTGCGGCACCTAGATAATCATGCAGCAGGAGATACAAGTTGCAGCGCAGTGGGGCTTTCTACCCAGGCAAGTGCTGCTGGGAGTCGCAGCTGGTAATAAGCAGCTGTGGCACCACCTGCACAGACAGGAAGACAGCTCTTTGCTGAACAACTAAGCCGCCAAAAACCCAAACAAGGAGAGAGAAAGCATGTCTGTCCGGGTGACTCACCTGAAACATGATCAAAACCACTCAATTTAGATTTCCTTAGAACAAACAATGTCCCTACTAAATAGCAATTACTAATCTGAAAGGATGTCAAATGTGGTCAGTAAGTGGTCACTGGGAACCCTTGTCAGGTCACACAAAATAGCACAAGATTAATTTTAATAAAATCAGATAATAAAGTCAACTGCCCAGCATTTGTAGCTCAAGATGAAGGCTGGGGGGAAGATATTACAAATCAGCTGCTAGGAAATGATAGGCTAATCTTTTCCTGCCTTAGTTCCCTTCCTTATCTTTAGTTGCCCTTTGTCCTCAGAGTCTCATCAGGAAGTAGAGAAAATTTTCCCAGAGAATTGTGGCCATTACTAAAAAGTTCCCTTAAAGTCTTTTTTTTTTTTTTTTTTTTAAAGAAAACAGAGATGAATGTCAGGATAAGTAGAGAGAATTAAAATAGAAACCTATTTCAATGGTTCTCAAACTCTTTTATGTTGTCAAATGCTTTCTACAAATGCATCCTTATGAATATATCCCTGAAAACAGAAGCAGAGCTGCCTGCAAAGGGGATCCCTAAGGCCTCTGAAATTTAGGGGTTCACTGGTCATCGCCTGGAAAAGAAATGATCTAGTTCAGCTTCTTTGCTTTTGAACCAATCATGATAACATACTATCATTATTAATTAATTATATACATTTTTATTTAAACTATAGCATATAAAGACGATAAGCTACTAAAAAAGGTATTGCTTTTACTCAAGTCTTCAGCACTAAACCAACAAAATGCTATATCTGAATTTACATTATTTCAAAAATGACTGAAGAATATCTCTATAACCAGAAACAGTATATATGTTTAAAGGTGCAACATTATTTTGCCCTTTGACCTCTGGGATCGATCTCTGAGGACTGACCTTGAGACCTACTGTCCTGTGAATGGTGAGGATGGGGGTGAGACAGGCACATGTCTCCCTTCACTGCCTTCTCACCACTAGCCAGAATCCCTGGTTCATAATCCAGTAAGATGTTAACTGGTCCAAAAGGACAATGCTGGCTGGATGCAATGAGCACATTTGGGACATTTTTATTTCCTCCACTGCGGAGAAGTAGAGTGAGGTGGTGTTTGGAAACAGTTGAGTAGCTGCAGACTTAGAGAAAAGGCAACAGGCTCCAGCTGACCGCCTGTGTGCCTGAGTTGGGACTTGCTGCTCTTACTATCCCTGTCCGTCCCCCCTTCTACTACTGGGTTTGAGGGTGTCCTGGTTTCCCGGAAAACAGCGAGAAAAGCCAGAGCACAGCAGTCAAGTGGTGGAGGGAGCCACCTCCCCCAAAGCTGCCGAGTCCAGCCCAGAGGAACCAGGAGAATCAAGAGGAGAGGACAGAGATATTGCCAACCCACTAGCACTACTGTGGTCATCCCTGCATGGCGTCTAAAGGAGAAATTAATGAAAACTATCATGTGGCTGGCAAATATCCACCACAACTAATAAAAAATGAAACTTTGAGATAAAAACATTAGGGCCTTAGCCAATGTGGCTCAGTTCATTGGACATCATCCCCTGCACTGAAAGGTTGCCAGTTCAATTCCTGGTCAGGGCACATGCTCAATCCCAGTAGGGGCACGGGGGAGGTGTGTGCAAAGGCAGCTGATCAATGTTCTGCTCTCATATCGATGTTTCTCTCTCTCTCCCTCTCCCTTCCTCTCTCTCTAAAAATCAACTTAAAAATCTTTTAAATTTTTTAAAAAATAAATAAAAGCATTTGGCACCATCTTTATAGGGGGAAATCCAGTAATATATAAAACAAGCAAAAAAAAAGTCATAAATTTTGACCCAGAAATCCTAATTCCTAGGAATTTATTCTGAGGACTCAAAAGAGTGAAGCAGTGTGTGCAAAATCTTTCTCAAGTAGTACTGTTACAGAAAAATGAACATTCAATAGATGATTATTACACAGTCTTTAAAAATATTTACGATGTGTACAAAAAGGGGAAATGTGTGAGCTTAAAACTAAAAAAAGGGGGCACAAATTGTACACACACTATGATTACATCTATGTGTAAATATGTTTCTATATGGAAAAACTGTGAGTGGCCATAGAGAAATACATATATCTTGTTTAAACAGATTACTTCACTATTTTTAAAGGCAGGGGAAGAGTGAGAGGGGTTAGAAACTTGCAATAAGCAAGTTTATGGTCCTAAAGCCTACTTACCTCGGATCACCCAATACCGACAATGAGGAGCAGCCCTATTCATTCATGTTGCAAGCATTTCCGTCATCCCAAAGGGTGGACTTGCAACTGAAAGCTTCTGACTAAGCATGGTCTCTACTAACTAGTGACGGACTCCTTGGACAAGGACTTGTGCAAGTTTAGGTGCTCCCACACAAGTCACACAGAGAACAGAGACAAAGCCACACCACATAGCTACCCCCCATCTCCCGATGTTAGGAAACAAGAAACAGATTTTTCCAAGTGCCATCCTACTTCCAGAACCACAACTAACACTGCACATAACCCGCAAAGGAAGAGAAAATGCATTACCAACACACTCCAGCAGTGTGATCTGACGAGCCACTGTTCTCTGAACCAGAAAAGGAAGGCCAGAGCCGCTTCCCGACGTACACGAGTGATCCAGTAAATCCTGTGGTTCGAGACAAGGAGAAAAGACACTGATGAGAAAGAGCCCTCGAATTAGAGCACGAGCATGCATCGCGTTATCACTCACACAGTAGCAGCACCCTGGCCGCCACGAGTGTGCGTGAACAGCCGCCATCAGAAGCACTGGTTTTGTTAGAAAAACCAGAAGCCCATCCTCTCCCTAATACAGGATAGGTTTTCCTGAGGATCACATGGTCCTTTCATGCACCCACAGTTTTAGAATTAAATATATAAAGAAGCTGAGTGGACAAAATCGAAGACGGGAATTAGCAAGTCCAGGCTGAGCACAGGGAAAGTAGCAGAACAAAGACCAAGTGGAGCAAAGAGAAGAGAAAAGAGCTTCAAGTCCCAGGCTGGGCCCAACTGACCATATTCTACTCTGCTTGTCATTCATTATCTAGCAGAGGATCCCCTCTAGCTGACATGCCAACTAAGGGGCTCTCATGAGAAACGTACGAATTAGGAATAAGGAACAGATGGCGCTCATGTAGTAGAAAGACACACCAGTGGCCACCTGGGTCATCCAACTGGCCCACTCCAGCAGAGAGGGGCTACCTGGATGGAGGTGTTACCCTTTTTAAGTGAGTGAGGAGCAAAGGGGTAAAAAAATTAACACCTATGTGTCATCTCTTGATGGGAGTTAGCCACGACTCAGAAAAGCTAAAGCTTTCATTGGAAACATAAAACCATGCCCCAAAATCTACTTCTAACAAATAACATATTATGAAAAAGATTCCCCATGAGTTCATTCATAAATTTTTCCTTCTTAGGAAAAGAAGAAAGCAGTCAAGAAGCAGAGGTCTTTCTGTATGGATTGTCTGCAATATACATTATTGTGCCCCCGTGTGATGGTGGTAAGGGTGCAGTCACAGTGAGCTGACATTCCTCATCCTTTCCCAAACATTTTAGCTGGCCTGTTAATACGATACACTGATTTGTTTGAATTTCACCTTTTTTTTTCTTATTCTGAGTTCCACTGTGACATACTGTTGATCAGCAAAATTACCAAAAGCTGAATATCCAAAAGAAAAAAATTTAGAATCCTTAAAACCACAAAATGGATAATCAACAGGAATTGAGTAAGATGAAGGGAACTTCCACATCCCCCTAACCATCTATTTGATGTTCTTTTTTTCTCTTTATTTATTCAATATTTTGAGAGAATAATCCAGAAAATTAAACTAATATGTTATTTTTGCCATAATATATAACCCTGGTCCCCAGGATGGGGGTGGGGAGGAAATCAACCAAAGATATCCAAACATCTACTTCAACTCTGGGACCCCAAGGCTGCTTTTCAACGTGGGGGAGCTGTTTAGTAAGATGTGCTTGGTTGAATCATACATGAGCATATTGCTTAAATGAACAAGTATGAAGACCAATAAGGACAAACTTGTTTTAAATAATGTTGTTTACTGTGTTGTTATATCGCACTATACTGTCATCTAACATGGTTGAGTTGGGAAGTATTTTAGCATATACTCCCATCCCTCTTTCAAAATTATAAAAACTATTTAAACAGTAATTTGCACAAGATATTCCTATTATTGTCCATGGTGATTAGTTATGTTAGCTGTTCTGAGGAATGAAGTTCTGACAAATCTATTTCTGAATCTTGCTTTGTTAAATCTTTGTCAGGATTTATCCTTCTATCTTCTTTTTTAAAAAAAGATGTTTTATTGATTTTAAGAGAGGGGGGAAGAGAAGGAGAGGGAGAGAGAAACATCCATGTGAGAGCATAACATGGGTCAGTTTCCACACACTCCCTTCTAGAGATCAAGCCAGTAACTCAGGCATGTGCCCTGACTGGGAATCGAACCAGTAACCTTTTGGTACACGGGACAATGCCCAATCAACCAAGCCACACCAGCCTGGCAGCCTTGTATGTTCTTGCTGCTAATTCAATAAACTTATTTAATGTTCCTCAAAATGTGAAATTAACCTGTAAGTACTTTTTAACAAAAAACTGCAATCCTCTACTTTTTGAAATAAAACGTCCTCTCTTTTTTCCCAGTTTTGCTGTACTACAATTTAAACAGGTAGGTAACAGGAAGCTCAACAAGGGTCTTCCCCCTTTTTCATACCAAAAAGTACATCTGACGGGTGGCCCAGTACTGGGGAAGGCAGCAGGATGGGGTATTTTCCAGCCTGGCTCTGCTCGTACCCAATGTTTGAACAGCTCACCAAAAACAGTCCAGGTGCAGGACCTGCGCTGCAAAGATTGTCAAGGGCACGTCTTCTCCAGTAAAAAGGAAGTGGCAGGTCAGGCTTAACTACAGAAATGTCAGACACTTTTAAGCATATTGTCTAGAAGATTTAACACAGAGGATCTTAAGTGACACATGATCATGGCATTAAATAACATCGACTCCCATTACAAAATGATTACCTTGATTATCTTTCAAGGTAGCCCCTTGCAGACAGACATTATGCTCTACTATCCCTAGGAGATAGTGCTGAGTTAAGACCAAATTGCCCAATCTCTCCAACGTATCCTAGATGTTTGTTGCTGAATTCTCATTGATCTTTTTATCTCATGTTTTCACCTAGGAACCTATTCCTTCATCTGTTCTTTTACTCAATGTCTTCAACATCCATTCATTCCAGATTATGAAAAGGAATCTTGATTTGGTACGAGTAGGTTTTTAACACCTCTCTAACACTCACCAGTGTGATGCCTTTTTTAGAGTAGGCACCAGTCTCACTCAGCATAGGATCCTTTTAGAACATTAATGCTTTTCTTTTTTGCACTTTACGATAACCCTTTTATAGCAAATAATTCCCGTTTCCATTTTTTAAAGTCTCTTTAAAATTAACACTTGAGCCCAGCTGGCATGGCTCAGTGGTTGAGCATCGACCCATAGGAGGTCATGGTTCGATTCCCCATCAGGGCATATGCCCAGGTTGTGGGCTCGATCCCCAGTGAGGGGTGTGGGTCAATAATTCTCTCTCATTATTGATGTTTCTATCTCTCTTTCCCTCTCCCTTCCTCTCTGAAATCAATAAAAATATATATTTTTAAAAACAATAACACTTGAAAAACAAATTTAAATTGTAAAAAAAAAAAAAGGAAGACAGTCACTTTTTACTGTGATTTCCTCATTTAAAAATTCACAAGAGTACTTTTAATGCATATAAATACAATAGTTTCAACCCTGTGCCATTCACTAGGGTAGCTGCTAGTCACATGCTGACACTGAGCAAGTGAACTGTGCTAGTCTGAACTATTGTAGGCTGTATGTGTAAAATACATACCAGATTTTGAAATCTTAGTTTTAAAAAGGAGTAAAATATCTTATTAGTAATCCTTTATGATTATATGTGGAAATTATAACTACATATATTAGGTTAAATATATTGTTGAAATTAATATCATCTGGGGTGTTGTTTTGTTTTTACTTTTTTTAAGGTAGCTACTAGAAAATTTAAAATTACATACACAATATGATGCACATATTTCTCCTGGGCATCACTGGGTTTAGCCACATGACTGCACTCCACAAGGGGGCAGCACAGGAGCGTGAAAAATTTAATAGCTTCTTTTTTGAATGTCAAATTTTAAAGTCTTAAATTACAGGGTGTTAAAATAATCTAGAAGGAAGAGTGATTTTTAATACTAAGCAAAAGGTGCTTGTTATAAAAGCACTTTTATTGCTAAAAGGAAAAAGTAACTGAGTACCATAAATTCCAAGGCTCTCCTCTCACCCCCACCGCCTACAGGGCACTTTTCCCTTACTCCCCCAAAATCTGCTAAAGTAAACCACATCTCTCATTTAATATAAACACTGTCTAAAATGAATGTTCTCCAATAGGGGAGACCAGACAGGTGCCAGCACATGCTTGCTTAGGATGTGCATGGCCAGTGCTATTTGTGCACACTGTCCAGTAACCAGTTACTATTAGCTCAAAATAAGAAGGCATCCTCAGCCATCTTCCTTATGCTTGGGATGCTAGGGTGACAACTCACTGCTAAAGTGCTGTCTCCAACATTGGTGGTGATGAGCCCTTCGATGGTGCCGTACTCCACATCTCTGGGATTGAGGCGTTCTTGGTTGCGCCTTTTAAATTTTCGGAGAGCGACTCCCAGTAGGCAAGCTAGAAGGCATACTGCGAACACTACAGACAGAATGATGAGGCCGACCTCCAAGTGAAAATTCTGTGTTCCAGAAAAGGATTTCCCTGGAAATGGGGGTGAAAACGGTTGTAAGGATCAATGTTTACTTATTATTTAATATTGATGACCAATACCCTAACAGGTAGCTCCAGATCCTGACCACAAAGTCTCACAAGTCACAAAGTGTTAAAACTAGCATACTTCCTAACACCTGGCCAATAGCCCAGTCATTTCAGCTAGTATTCATTTAGACCCAACTGGAAAAATTCCATTGAGAACCAACTGTATTAATGCACATATATGAGAGTGCTTTTAAAATATAGAGTACTATACAAATCTCTGGTGCTACTCTTATTAACTTGGATTTGATTTGTAAGGATATTTTATCATCAGCCCCTTGCAGACAGACATTATGCTCTACTATCCCTAGGAGATAGTGCTGAGTTAAGACCAAATTGCCCAATCTCTCCAACGTATCCTAGATGTTTGTTGCTGAATTCTCATTGATCTTTTTATCTCATGTTTTCACCTAGGAACCTATTCCTTCATCTGTTCTTTTACTCAATGTCTTCAACATCCATTCACTCATTGAAAACATCCATTCACTGACTCTTCGGGCGTTCTTACATTATCCATCCAAATGTTCATGACTCAACACTTATACGCCACTAAAGCAAACATTCTCAAAGACTTTCTACCTGCCTAGTGAGTTCAATCAAATTTTCTTACTTGGATAGTGAAGGTCCATAATTAAAAGATCACAAAACAATAATTCTCTCTGAATTTCAGATGCCTTCATGACATTGTCACCAAGCCCCGTTCTTCCCAACATATGACTTACTATTTTCCACGTCCCTGGCCCCTTCGGCGATCCAATCTCAAGCCTAGTTTCCTTTATACATTTCTTTTAACTTTCCGAATCCAACTAATTTAATCAACCACTTGGCAATATACCCCATGGCACGTATCACTTGTACTATAAAGTGTAAAACTAATTATATACAACATTAAATTATAAATATTACACCTCTCTAATTAAATTAGAAATTCCTTAAGTAAAGAAAATAACTTTCCTATTACAACTCAGAGGCTAGGAACTTTTCAAACTAGAGATATAATTTTTGTGTGAATGCAGACATTTCTTCATGTCTCCCCACTCTATTAATAGCATGTAAACTCACAAAGTTTAAGAGTACAATTGTATTCCATCAGGTAAGCGTTTTAGCTGTAACCATTTAAGTACCTAATCTCTCTTTTAAAAACTGTCTTTTATTATTCAAGCCTATTTGCTTATCAGAATTTAACCTTTTCTGTATGCCTGAAGGTCATCACCATGTTTTCAACAATTACTGTAACGTGACCATGCATCAGTCTTTTTCATTTTTTGAGTCTCCTCCCTTGCTGGCTGACATTTCCAGCAGTGGATGCTCCCACTAGCTTCTCCTACTCCATTTTTTGGGTTGATTCTCCTTTTGTGAGAGCAAAATTAAATAACCATGCCTATTAAAAATGTACGATATTATTAAAAGTAAATTTGCCTTAGAGTGAATCTACACAGACTAAGATACTTTAATATTTGTAGGAACTCTGAGCTAGCAAGTTCAGGCTCATTCCATGGGGAAACAATTTCAGAGGAGGACTGACTTTCATTGGCTTTAGAATCCACATTGAATATGACACAGAGAAGATTCCACATCAACTCCAAGGTTCATGGGAAGTCTCACACAGCTTCATGATTCAGTGGTCATAGGACATGAGCTTTTAGTGAGCCTTTCTTTGTCTCCTTCCTTATAAAGAAGAGGTTTTCCACTCAGGCACCTACGTCTTAGGTTCCATTTTCCTCCCTACACACTCAACTCTTTACTAAGCAGAATGTTTTCTGAAATGTCGAATGGCATCCTGGCTCATTAACTGAAAGGACATCAGGAACTGTTGTCCACCTGCGTGTGACTGCTGAGAGAGACCTGGCCGGCCAAGATGTCCCTGAGGTGGACATCGCCTTGTTGACTTTCCCCCCAAATGTCCATCCTTCCACCCTCCTCCTTTTAGATTCTACAGGTTGTGCCTTTCTCTTCTTCACCCAGAACCACCTTCCCTGTCACCCACTGCCTCTGGTTCAAAGAGTTGGAGGAAAGCCTTGGAGCCACTCCCATCTTTAACCCACAGAGAATCAGCCCGACACTAACAAAAACCCTTGATCTAAAAGCAGACAAGTGCGTGAGAACCTTTAGTGGGCAGCTGGGCCGTGATGTTCCTGTTGCACCAGTCCCCCTGGCAGCACTCCACGGCCTGGCCAGGCGATGGCGGGGTCTTACAGGTCATCTTCCCCTGCTCGTAGACCTGGAAGCAGCCTTTCTGGTAGACGTGGAAACCATCGTTTATGCTCAGTGAGGAGAAGCACTGCTGGCCTTCGCAGTGGTCCTCGTTCCCACAGGAGCGGCCTTCACACACACACATGTACAGTTTGGGGTTCACCTTGGGCTTCTCATCTGTAGAAGGATAGAGAGGAAGAGGGGGAGTCACTGAATGGATTATACACCCATGGGGGGAATAAGAGTTTCTCCAAGACCATTGTCCACATTCTGTGGTCTTGTATCTCTCACTTGACCAAGTACCAAATGATAGTCACTACTCAGTATATAAACTCATTTATATAAGCTGTGTACTCTTTTAGATTCTACTAGGCCAAAGAGTGGTTATCATTTGTCCACAGGCTCCAGAAAATGAGTTTCTCCCACTGTGGTTTACGTGTTATCTTCAGCCCAATGGGCTCGCATCTCCTAATTCCTTCATCAAAATAAAATGTTTTACCAGAACATAATGCTCATCTCTTTTATTTTGTGTAAGAAAAAGGATGGTTCCTAAATATCGTGTGTGCCAAAAAATGAATACACACTTTGAATAATTATAAAGGCAGTGTTTATTAAATTACATTTCATTTTGAACCTGGAGAATATTATGCTAGGCAAGGTAAGCCAGTCAGAGAAAGACAAGTATCCCATGATCTCTCTCATACATGGAATCTAGTGAACAAAATAACCTGATGAACAAAACAGATCCAGAGACATGGAAGCATGGAACAAACTTCTGAACCTCAGAGGGAAGGCAGGAGGGGAGGGTGAGTGGGAAGAGATCAGCCAATGAACTTGTATGCATATATGCATAACCCATGGACACAGACAATAGGATGGTGAAAGTCTGGGGTGGGGGGTCAGGGGTGGGCTAGGAGAGATCAAGGGGGGAAAAGGGGGCATTTATAATACTTTCAACAATAAAGCTTTAAAAAAGTACATTTCGTTTTCAAAATTGAGCTATTAGCTGTTAAAGTGTGTATACGTTTTTTGGGGACAACCTATTTATGGCAGCTGTTAATGCCCATTCCTGCTAGTTCCATACAAATCTTCATCAACCAGTAATACAAGAAATGGTCACAGTCCTGCTGTTACCGGTCTGCTTCAGCAATATACCACATGGTAAGAGTTTACAAGTCTAAAATTACAAACCCATATTATCAATACTTTAAGCTAGATGCCTAGACTAATTTTTTAACAGTAATAATACTGAATTTTTACATTAATTACAACGGAAATTCATAGCTGCTTACATATTTTCAAGTGGCAGAAAAAAAGTTTGGCAGCACTTATTGAGGATGAGGGCACAAGAAGACAAAGGGAGCAGAACAATGTCTGAACAATAAGGTCACAGATGGGATCCAAGGCACAGCCCGCACCTGGTGGGTCTACGACGCAATGGAAAGAGGCAGAAATGTATCATCAGGGAAGCAGACCTCAGCAGACTCCTGTCTCTTTCTGAAACCCTCATTTGCAGTTTCATTTTTCATATGCTCTTTCGCCCCTGGGCCCTCTTGTTAGAACGATTAGTTCAGACTTGCTGGTCACAACAGTTTCCACTAGTTACTAGCGGGGAAGGAAAGTGAAGATATAATATAAACAGCCACGTCCTAGAAGCCACTGATTAGTTAGCTGTGGCCACATTCACCCTAGCACTGTTCATATAAGGACATTCCAAGCTCCCTGGGATGGTCGAAGGCACAGACCGTCTGCCTTCTCATCCTGAACCCTCTGCCACAGGTCTGCGAGATAACTGCTTCTTTCTTAAAATAACCGGTCGGGTGGCTGTGCTTTTAAGAGACCTTAAGGTAAGGTCTTTGAAAATGTCAAGTTCATTTACACAGATTTGTGTGGGTGCGCGCAGAGATGTGGGTTATCTCAAAAAGAGGGAAAAATGGCATTCTTAATCTTTCTTCTTCCCTCTTCAAAGTGAAAATAGTTCACTGCCCACTGAAATGTGGGTGCCTCGTCCCACAGAGTAAGTGCATGCAGACACAGACACAAGGCCTTCTATTTATAATTGACTTGCTAGTTCTTTTGAAAACCACAAGGGGCTTATCCAAGAGCAAAGACATGCCTGGAAGCAGAAAATCCAAAATAGCCGCTGACAGTATATGTATGTCACCAACTCACCCCCGAGACTCAAAAGCCCTCAGACATTTTTAATGAGCAAAAACTGTAATGAGCCAAGAGATGGTCTTTATTTTCCCTGCCTAGAGAAATCCAAGAGAAATTCCAACACCAATTTATTTCGATGAGGATGAGAAACATATATATATATCTGTTGACATAATCCAGCAAAAAGTTTACACTTGCCAAAAGCGAGTTGAAAGATAATATTTCTAGGGAGTCTAGACATGCTTGCCACTCTCGAACGGCACAAAGCTGGCTGAGGGCTGCCAACAATGTTGCCCGACAGGTGATGATTCTTTGGAGGGAAACGGATGGGCAGAGGGAGGAGGGTGCTAGTAGGTCGTATTGACCTGTTTGTCATCTACAGCAGGGAATTAGAAAGGCTATATTTAAAAACGGTGCAATAACGCAATTTCTGTAAATTCAAACATAAGCATCTATTTTAAAACCCTAAGTATTTTTTAAAGACTACATATATCCAAGAATACATACCTAACACATTGAAGAGGTTGTGTCTGTTGACAGTAAGTTGGAGTTGAGGGGTTAGAGTTGGGATGAAGAGGTAAAATAAAATAGGAGAGTGATTAGCTGTTCATAGACTGATAATGGATTAAAGAGTACAAATTACTTAACTCGCTGTACCTACGGTGCACTAGGAACAGCTATAAACAAGCACCGCTGGCCCTCTATACCCGCGGGTTCCACATGTACAGATTCAATTAACCTCAGAGAGAGATATTTGGAAAAAAAATGTTATGTTGTTGCTGATGTGTCTATACCAGTGATGGCGAACCTATGACACGCGTGTAGAGGTGACACGCAAACTCATTTTTTTGGTTGATTTTTCTTTCTTAAATGGCATTTAAATATATAAAATAAATATCAAAAATATAAATCTTTGTTTTACCATGGCTGCAAATATCAAAACGTGTTAGGTCAGGATTTTTCAAAATGCTGACACGCTGAGCTCAAAGGGTTCACCATCACTGGTCTATGCTATGTAGTTAAGCATACAATGATTGTACAGACTTTTTTCTTGTCATTATTCCCTAAACCCGTGGTCGGCAAACTGTGGCTCATGAGCCACATGCGGCTTTTTGGCCCCTTGAGTGTGGCTCTTCCACAAAATACCATGTGCGGGCGCACATACAGTGCGATTGAAACTTCATGGCCCACGCGCAGAAGTCGGTTTTCGGCCTGAGCGAGTCTATTTTGAAGAAGTACTGTTGATATTTGGCTCTGTTGACTAATGAGTTTGCCTACCACTGCCCTAAACAATACAACTATTTACATAGCATTTACATTGTATTACGTATTGTAATCGAGAGAAGACTTAAAGTGTATAGTGGGATGCGCATAGGTTGATAGGTTGTATGTAAATACTTTGCCATTTTATATAACAGACCTGGGCATACACAGACTTGGGGGGTGGTCCTGGAACCAATCTCCAGAGGGTACCGAGGGGCAGCTGTAACTCTAGACAACAGAGGGCTCACTGATCATTGATCCTATGGAAACGGATGGTCCAGAGGACCAAGGAATTAATGACACTTTGTGGTTCTAGTAAAAACTGTCAAATTTTTAAACACACAATAATAATAATTCTTCTAATGTGCTCTCAGAGCGAAGTCTACTTTTAAAGTTCCAGCCCAGACTGAACTCTGCATCCACAGATGCAAGACCTTTCCAAGGTCGGTGGTTTCTAACAGGACGAGGGGACTATCAGAGGTTTGGACTGTAACCTAAAGAATTTTGCCAGAATTGAACAGCCTCGAGTAAATATGGTCTTTAGTGAAATTCAACCCACTGTACTCACTATGGGGTCATAAACTAAGACAAAGGGGTTCATTCATTTCTCAAACAGTCTCCGTGAGTCTTTATATTCCTATGGTGGCGGAGTAAAGATGATCAGGGTTAACTACTTCTAAGTTAGTGATTCTTTTCAGTAAGATGTCAAAAAAACAGAGTTTTCATATCCTCCCCTCCACAATCAAGGGAAAAAAAGGGAAGAAAGACAGCTGTTAATGATATGTAATAATGAACTCAAACTCGGATATAGAGGAGCCCTGAGCTCAGTCCAGCAGTTAGCTCATGGGAAAATATAAAACTTGCACCAACTTTGTCCTATTTTGTTTCTCATCCACATTTCACCCCTGAATTTGTACATTCCCACATAACTAATGAGCAGAGCCCTTCATGTATCTCTTTTTCATATACAGACAAATATAAAGACCCTAGATTCTTAGGAACAGAAAAGTGACCACATGCGCACGCCTGCGCACACGCATACACGTTGGTTAAATGCCACTTTGGCAACTTGATCCGGCAAAGTGGATTAGTCAAAGAGATGCCAAAAGGATTTTCCGAGCTAGGATTACTAATTCAACAAAGTTAAAAGCAAGGTAGCAGCACTTTCAGATCTTAATATTCACAATTCTAAGGAACACAGCTGGCCCTAGAATGCCCATGACTCACTGTTTTATAAAGTCCTGTCAAATTTTGGGAATAACCATAACATGTGTGGGCCTGTGATATTTCACTTGGGGCGGGATTGTGGTGGGAGGGGAGTAAGGGTCCGAGAATGATCACAAAACCCCTCTTAGGGCCAAAGGCAAGTGTCTGCAGACCTCTCACCTCCCAGATTGTGATATCAATACCGTGCACAGCAAAAATAATCGCCTTCTCTGACTGATCTCCCACCGTACTGACAGGAGGCGCCACATCTGATAGGAAGTATTTCACACTTGCCTATTAAATAACCAGGAAGTGTCCTGGCAGAAGGCAAGCCTACTCCACCTAACCGACAATCATTTCAATAATTTAGTCATTTAAAAGTCAAGCCAGAGGTATTCCCTCTCTGAGGAGCTCGCCCACATTGTCTGTTCTAGAAGGCACCTCCCGGCATTACTCAGTGTTATGGCTGGCACCGCGCGCCCTTTGTATCCTGAGCAAGGCCCCGGAGCACACTTGCAGCCTGCGTCTGGCTGGGAGCAGCAGAGTTCAATGCCCCTTGGGAGGATCCAGGGCTGGCTCCCCAACCAGAGGTGCAGGCTCAGGATCCAGGGGTTCTCCACAGCCAAATCTTTGAAAAGATCTGCTTTGTTCTGGGTAATACCTCGCCGTCTGGGCACACCTAGTCGCATGGCCCTGGCAGAGGAAGAGGCAGAGCAAAGAGCGCCATGAACTTTTCAAACTTGTCCACAGTCTGGGATAATCTTGTACCTCATAGTAAAAGCGTTCACCTGTGCGTTTTGAGTGGGACTTGAGCAATCCAGGCACAACAGGACGAACTTGGACTTCTTCTCCCCAATGTTCTCCCTCTCTCCCTCACACCTGTCTAGTCATGCACTCCCTGATGCTTTAAGGCATTTAAACTGATCATCATTCTAAATGGTGCACAAAACCCCACATTTCCCACTAACATCTGTGACACAACAAACAAATGAGGAAATGCTACAAGGAAACCAGCCTCTAACTGTGATCCCAGGAACAGCCTCAATTTCTTAATGGCTCACCTCAAAGTAGCACAAAAAAAAAACACAACACACGTGGTTATTGGAGGATGGTTATAAAAGTCCAACAGCTCAGAACTTTATAGGCTAAAAAAGGAACGCCAAACATCCCTGGACTCCTTCCAACAGTATCAATGATTCATTCATTCAAAATGACGGCTTATATGAGGGCTTATAGATATGGGAGTCCTTCCATGGTCTCCTAATCCGAGAGTACAGTTTGGCACCTCTCCAGAATCTAAAAGCATTTGAGGTCTCTGGCATTAAACAAAGGCTTAAGGAAGGATTTTGCAATGCCAGGTAGCACTGCCAGCAAGCCAGCTCGTACGGCAGAAACACAGAGGTCCGTCCCGAACGCCTCGTGAAGGGCATCTGACGGTCTGGCAGCCGGCAGGCAGGCGATGTGCTCAGGGCTCAAATACACCAAGTGCCCAAATGCTCTGATGAGAAAACACTCATGATAAATCACTCTTTTTTTTTTTCCTGATCAGAGAAGTTGATACTTGGTGAAGTTGGAAAGCCAAGAAGAAAATGTGTTCTAGGAGTTAAGAGAGAGAAGAGAAAAATTTGAATGAGATCATATTATATTCAAAGAATAACAAAATAATGGTGTTAGGATTTCCAAGATTTTGAACTCATGATGCCTCCACTACAGGTGTGTTCTTCCTCAAGGTTCCCTAAGTCAGCCAATACCACCCTTATTCAGATGTACAAGCCTGATGCTCTCTGGCTTCCACTACTCTCAAAATTGGCAAAATCATTCATCTGGCCTACAAAAGTCCTGGTGGACATGACCTCTGCCTCTTCAGCCTTCCCCCAGATCCCTTCAGTTCTTGGAAGGCCTCTTCCTGCCTCAGGGTCTCAGGCCCTTTAGGTACGGAATTCCCTCCACCTGGATGCTTAGTTCCCTTCCTGCCGACACCCCCAACCCCCTAGTTAGTTCTTATGCTCCCCTCAGATTTTCCTTACACATCATTTCCTCAAAGAGCCTTTGCTCACACAGCCAAATTTAAAGTAGAAACCACCTGTCCACACTCACAAACATGTGTGTACGCCTGTTCAATGTCTAAGTCTTTCCTCACTGTGAGCCCCATGAGGGTGGGAACCGAGCCTCCTGTGCTCACCATTCCAGACCCCTCAACGGCCTCAGTACTTGGCAGGAGTACCACCAGCCTGAGGACTATCGGCTTCAGAATGAATTTTCTCTTCACAGAAAGGATTCAGAGGTGGGAAGAGACATGATGCTGGTTTTCAGAGCAGACTGAGCCCATAAAGTCTTTAAATGTCAGCAGAGATCTTAAGGCAAGGCTTAGTCACCTAGCCAGCATGTCTGTGCAAACCACTCCCTCTGAGAGCAGCTTGCCACGGCCTCACATCTGCTCTCCTACCCGGGCTCACAAGTGTGGCAAATCCATCCTTCTTGGGGTGTGCTGGGTTTTTTGTTTGCTTGTTTGTTTGCTAGGAGAAAGAGGTAAAACACAGGAGTTCCTAAAACGGGGAATTAATACATTATAGAGCAGCAGGGCTGTTACAAGTGGTCCTTCCTTGGATGGTTGATTTGAGGACTTTTAGCTGCTACGGTCAAAACACAGTAAGTGCCTGACTCCAGTGGGCTGAGAGGGGTCATGCAGGGCTCGCTGCACGGCAGTGAAAACCATGCCCCTGGTCTTTGCTGCCATTTCTCTCCTATTGGGAAAAGAACGGCGTGCTCAGCAGGCAGTGGGGAAGAGCGAATTACATCATTTTCCCCCTCTTGCTTTGCTGAAGGTGATAAGGATTCCGAAGTCATACTGCACTTGAACTGCTAGAGCTGAGAGAGGGAAAAAGTGCCATCTGTTTATTTTGTGTCTGGCTGACTCCCTGTCTGTGAAATAATCCCTGTAAATGAAGCCTATTGCAGCAGCCACACCTTCCATTTCAAAGCCAAAAACGCAGTCTGTGTTTAAGTGACTAACATTATGGGGCACTGACCTAAGACAATATGGGTCTGTCTTTTCCATGTT